CTACCACAAGAAAGAGTCAATCACGGTGAAAACGGAACATGGGAAGGTAATCCCTACAACTCTTTAGACCATTCATCTAAATTAGTTAATTATTTTCTATGTCTCTGCCTTAGAGAAGGAAGATACAGGAGAGTGAAGAAAAATAGAAAATCCCTTCATTCGCCACTAAACTTTGACATTATGGCAATAACCTAGCAAGGTTTGTGGTGTTGGAGCAAATTTAAAGTTTTGTTAGAGTTTCCTTTTTTTATACTTAATGATTTTAATAATTCACTCACTGCATTTGCTCTCAAAGCCTTGCAAATTGATCATGTTTTATCGGAGTACAATGTAAGAATTGTAACTTCTACCATCACTACTCCTAAATTTTGGCTTTTAGGCATGGCTGATTGACGAAGAGTTGCATGCAAGTAGTAAAATGTTAGCTGACTAAGTTAGATTATCTAGATTTTTTTTTCTAGGTCAATTGTTGTTTTTTATTATGTTTATAAGACTAATGATCATTTTTGTTGTTATTTTTTTTTAAGAAGTGTTTATTTATCACAGTTTTAATTGTGTGTGGTGTTTTGTCATGATGTTGCGATCTCCAAGATTTTTGGAGAAAAAAGAATGCAATGGTTGTTGTTCCATCAGATGGTTCTCATTCTGTCCTTAGTTGCTGGTGAGCTCATTATAGAATCATATGATATACACCACAAAATAAGAAATGGCGTAACTGCTTTAGGGTTGATCTTAACATAAGCCAAAAGAGCACTGGAATTACACTAAACCAAACATAAAACATGTTCGTTCTATGTGGAATCCAATCGTGTCGATCAATCTGGTTGTATTGTTGCCTCATATCCCAATTATGTTGGTCGAGCTCACTGGATGGCAGCACAGGTTCCCCCTGCTTGGGTTCGGGTGTTTTGCACCCCAAAAAAATGTTTTCCTTACAACAGTACAATGTTGAGGAGTTGTACACTTGTGTTGCTTGGAGACAAAGAATAGAGCACTGCGGCACCCCAGATCCTAGCACTGTTAATCAGATTGGAGATAGAAAACAGAGCGTCGAAACGCTCAAAACGCTCAAAACCTAGCGTCGTGGCACTGAGTCAAGTTGGACAGTTTTCTTTCTCATTTTTCATATTTAACTTCAATGGTAGCATCACTTGGATAGTTTTAAGTTGTATTTCTTTATTAGTTATGTAGTAGAAATGTGCAAAAAGTGAAGAGAGATAAGAAAAGAGCGAGAGAAAAATAGATATATACAAATTCTCCCTATTTTTATAATAGATTTCTTGGTTTGTGTGGCTCCGTAATTTTTTTCCTGATTTTTTTTCCCACATTAAATCCCGGTGTACTAAATTATTGCTTTATTTTTCTTGTTTGTATTCGTTGCATGATTTTACTTCCCTAAAAAAACATTTGACAAAGAACATCGATACCTTAATAGAATTAGCATCAGAATAACACCAAGCTCTTATGTGTGGAATTTGATTGTGTTGATCAATCAAGTTGTTATGTTGTCTCGAACCTCAAAGCTTGTCATGTTCATTGGGAAGTGTGGGGGGTTACCCCCTGGAAAAAAAAAAATTTGTATAACTCCCCAGCGTTGCGTACCTGAACGCCCCAGCACTGCGTACCTGAGCGCCCCGGCATTGCGTACCTGAGCGCCCCAGCACTGAACAACAGAGAGCAGAGCACCGCAACGATCAAGATATGACGCCGTAATGGGTCATGATAGAGACAGAGCACCGCAGAGCTGAGTGTTTGAGTGCTATAGCATTGTCAAACAGAGATTGGCCACCACAGTGCTGTGAGATGAACTGAATAGTTATTTTTCTCATTTTTCTTGAAGTTTGGGTCCCTTGGGGTTATAACTTACTTTCTCTTATATTTTTTTGAGTATGAAGACATTGAGCACGATGCATGTGAGAAGAAAAGGAAGGAGAGATTGAGAAACAAGAGAGATCTGTACTTATTCCACGCAATTTTCATAATGAATTTCTTGGTGTGAAGTGGCTCCGTAGTTTTTTTCTTATGCTGGATTTTTCCACATTAAATCCTAATGTCCTTTACTTTTCCACTACATTTACTGATTTACTTTCTTGCTTGTTTCATCATTGTGGTGTTTACTCTTCATCTCTTCCCCAACACAAATCAAAAAGCCTCTCAAGAACATTATTAACATAAGGAATACTAAACTTTTTTAGAAAATATCGTTACCTACTTTAATCTATATGCAGCAGAATAGTTTACACACTATTCTCTCTGAAATAAGCCTTATTATTGATACACCATTGAAAATTGTCTTGATCGAGCATAAATGTTGAGGCATATTTCAATGGGAAACTTCCAAAATCAAATTTGGGACCATCTAGATTATGATTTCAACAAAATTATATGTCTCGACAAAACAAACTCAAGAACACCAAAAATGATTTAATCCAAGCTTAAATGAGCTCAAATCAAGGACCTGAAGCATACTGAGACACTTCAGGACATTAATTGGATGATAAAGTTATCTCAAAATATGGCAAGCTTACAGCTGAATCGAGCGGCTCGATGAGACAAATCTAATGAGCCTAAGATTGCTTAATTCTGACATTTAACACACTTAAATTCTGAACGTAAGCTTCGTGATCAAGGAAATCAATATGGGTCGTTCGATGGAGTGCTCCGAATTTTCTCAATATTTACAGGGCATGTCACTCCCAGAAATCTATAACTAGGTCTCCACTCCTATATGAAGGGGGACTTGGATCATAGCTAGATATTCAAAAGATCTCTAAAACTTGAAGAATTCCAGAGCTCAACTCGAGTAGCATCACCAACAAAGCAACACCACCAACAAACCTTCATCGATCAACTGTCATCGGACCTCGCCACCCGACTGCCATCGCTAGACCTCTAGTTGGTCACCATCACTTAACAACTGCCCATCACCGCTGTCAAACCACCGCTGACTGAACACGATTGAACCTCTGTAGGACACAGTATTGGAGCATCTGCCTGACCACTTTTCACGCCTCGGGATCTAAAGTGAAAGAACTTCTTTTCTTTTTCCTTTTTTATCCATTTATAACTTATATTTTTCAATAACAATCAACAATCATTCTCAACCAGATCAATTTAACATCCAGAACTGATTAATTGCATTACATGCATATAAAAAACAACGAAAAATATAATTCATATTATTATAGCTCATAATTACATCCAACAACCACACTTCAAAACAATTTATAAAATAATCACACTAGCTATAAAAGAATATACATAAACCAAAAAACTGAAGAAAGCAAAACTGGCACTGCGGAAAGAAAATTATGCATGTTATAGCCTCAAGCTGCAGAATCCTTACCTGAAGTCATTTAAAACCACATAATAAGCACATAGCACAACAAATAACCAAAATTTTACAACTGAAATCAATGCAAGATAAAAAAGAACAGTATGTTGTAGTAAATCATATATATAAATTTATACATCAATGTATGACAAGATAAAGCAAATGCTACGATTGAGAATGATTGAATAATAAATTCATACAGAATATATATATATATATACACTAGCATTGCTCTTATTATGTATAAAATATCATCAATAATATTTGTACTCTTATCGTTAAGATATCAGTACGATCATACATACTCTTATCGTTGAGATATCAGTATCCATACAGTATCAACATATAATAATAGGTATCAATTATTAGTAGTCCATAATTTGATAATATTATTTATAATATATCAATATTGGTAGTACTCTTATCATGTATCAGATATTATCATTATTATATGTACTCTTATCATTGTGGCATCAGTACGATCATCCATGCTCTTAATATTGATATGATATTAGTCAGTACATCATTATATCATATCAATTAGTATCATTTTAGTACATCGTTTCCATACATATTAATCAATTCAATTATTTCATCCCATGTCACATTTCAGCATTATCAAGTCAAATCATAGTACGCTTCTTTTCAACCCATTTTTAGTATAACTTTTTCCCTACTCGTTTATTGATGTAGGCAGGGGGGGGCAAAACAAGTTGGGTTTTATTTTTTGTGAGTTGTAATATCTTCTACTAGATGTCAGCTCATTAATATCTAGTAGACTGTCTTAAGCTCATAAATTGAATATTTATTAGATTCATTCACCCTTTTCCTTTGTCTCTTTGGTTTCTACTTGTGTGTCTTTGGTTTTCCCACTTGTGCCTCTTCTCCTCCCTTTGTCTTCTAAGTTTCCCGTGCCTTGCCCCTTTGTCTCCTGTGTTGGCTCTTCGGGTCCCTTGCTGGCTGGTTTCTCATGCCCTGGTGCTTTGCCTCCTGTGCTGGCTTTTCGGGACCTTTGCTAGCTAGTTTCCCGTGGGTATTTGGGGGGGATTTCGGTGGCTTCTTCTATGTTTTCTGTGCATTTTTCCTGCAGCTGTTTTGCTGTCTTTTGGCCTTCTATATTATAAGATTTAATGGGATAATTTAGTAGTTTTAGGTGGTTGTTTGGCTGCCCTTTTCTTCTATAAATAGGAGGTGTTTTGGGATGAAAAAAGGATGTTATGTGAGTTATTTTTGGACATGAAAACCTGATGGTTTTTGGAAAAGCTTGAGAGCTTGTTCCACTTCTTCTTCTACTTCTTGGGAAGGCTTGCGAGCTTCTCCGCTCTTCGTCTCGGCTTCTAATCTCCTTCTTGTATCCGCAAGTTCCCTTCCACTTGTATCCTTCTTCTCAAGGCAAAGCAACTTTAGGTGTTTAAGTTGTCTTTATGCCATCAAAATTTGTAAGCATCTTTTATAATATTCAAGTTTGTTTTTGTAGTATTTTGTATTTTTTTGGCAATTTATGTAATTTTCTATTATCTAGGAAGCATTAGTCTTTGCTTGCAAAAATTTGGGGCCCTTCTCAAATTTTTTCTTGCATCATTTATACACATATTTAACCAGTAAAATTGTAATAAAATCATTTAAATTGATCAAATCTATAATATATCAGAAGTTACGTGTGAAAGCTTATGAAATCAAAAGATAATGCAATTTTAGCAGAGTTATGAGAGATAAATCAGTAGAAATCAAAATCATCAAAAATAGAAGTAGGAAAATAGTTACTTACTACGAATAGAATAATTTTCATAACAAGAAGGACAAACAAAAATGACTTGAAAACCCTTCTCTCTCCTCTTCTCCCCCTTCTTCGATTTCTTTCCGACCAAGCAGCATTGAATGGAGTGTGGGAGTGGGATGGCAGGGAAATTAAGAAAAAAAAATATTTAAAAAAAAGATATACATCAATCCTCACCCCTTCGCCAGCCTTAGGCCTTCTTCCCAGCCCACCCTCATTAACTTCTATAACCCGACTATCTTCGTCGGGCCTTTACCGTCTCGACCATTATCATTGATCCTTCTTCAGCTAACAACAACAGTCCATCAACCTCCGTTTCTCGCTGAAAATGGTCCTCAAACCACTCTTGTATGACCACGATCCTTGAACTACCATCACCCAACTATGGTCCTTAGATCACTGTCGTCTGCCTAATATGGTCCTTCCGACCTCTGTCGCTTGCCAACTACAGTTCTCGAACAGTCATCACCTAATTATGATCCTTCCAACCTTCATCTCCCATCGACTATGGTCCATTTGACCTTCGTCAACCATTGACTACAGTCCTCCAACCGCCTTCGCCCGCCAGATACAGTCCTTCGACCTCCGTTGCCCACTGACTATGGACCTTGGATCACCGTCGCCTGATAACTACAATCCTCCCACCACTTTTATTTGACTATAATCCTCCATCACCCAACCACGGTCCTCCGACCACCATGGCTTGACAACGGTCTACCACCATCACTCGACCACGATCCTCCAACCACTGTTTCCTAACTATGGTTATTTGACTCTCATCAACCAACTACAAGCCTTCTGACCTTCATTGCCTAACTACCGTCATTTGGACCACCATTGTATGGCGACACCAATGCCTATTGACTTCATCACCTTCCGTCTCCAATGATGCCAACACGCAATTACATATAAGATTGATGGAGGTCATCAACATCAACTCTAACTCCAAACTTCAGCACTTGAATTTATGTTGAATTTTTGTCAAAGGACTCTTCCAACTTCAACCATGTGTTCTTTATAATGTATCAATACATTCCCCCAAGGAAGGGGTCTACTTGTAATCAAATATAAATTATAGTGGAATCATTTTGGTAGTGCCAAGCCTCATGGTTTTTCTCTTTACTGATTTTCCACGTAAAAAATCAAGTGTCTCGTGCAGGTCTTGCAATCCTCTCTTATTTGTGTGTGTTAGATATTTGTGCAAAGCTAGGACGTTAAAACTCTGTCTCTCTATCAGCATGAATGTTCGGGCATGCGACAATTATTATGTAAAAATTTTTATTTAGGATATCCTATCAAACGTTTGGCGAGGATGACAGTTAGAGTCATTAGATTTGATTTGAGATTACTGCAATACCAATCTTGCCTGTATTGAGTCATCTCAAAGTGAATCCAACACTTTGAACTACATCTTGGACAAAATTTGATCAGATATCTTGAGGTAACTTTTTCCTATTAATCACTGTTGTTAAGCATGAAACACCGGACTCAAATAACCTTTCTATGATCATCAACATCATCTTGATTAGAGTTGTCCAAACTACTTGTATTATCTTTATGAATCCTAAATTTTAATTCATTCAAATTGAATACTACACAAAATGTTATATCCATTATACGCAAATCTTTTTCACAACAAAATTGTTGTATTATCGCAACCCATCCAAGAATTTAAATAAACTCCATTTACCAGCCCTCAGCAAACAATAAACTAAATTCAACAAGCAAAATCATTCTGTCCTTCTATCTACCTTTACGAAATCTTGAAGGGAAGTGATAAATTAAAACAAAGAAGCTCGAAATCTCAAGTAATCCAATGAGAAATCTGACAATTTCCGCCCGGAACACTACGCTTCAAGCTTACCTGCTCCCCAAAGGGAACCACGAGGCGGCAGTCACACCTCCGGCTGCCCATCACACAGTGAAGCCGCCAGCGCCCTCGGACACTGATAAATGCCGTGTCAATATAGCAATCAGTCGTCACCGCAATTTCCTTCATATGGAGCGGAATCAACGCTGGCGGATCACACCGTCCGTAAACGTGCGGCTGGTAGCTCGGAATGTCCGGATTGTCCACGATTGCTGGGTCGACGATCACCGCATACAACATCGGCGCCTTCGGGATGAGAGAGGCTCTCGACCTTTCCATCTCGGCCGTTTGCCTCGGAGGCGCCTCCGCATATCGGTCCTTACCAGCGTACACACGCTTCGCCAGCCTCAGGCCTTCTTCCACGGACATTGTGAACTCCTCCATCCTCTCGATGGAGAATCAAACTTAAAGAACGATGACCGGAGTGACGCCTGAGGCCCTACAGTTCAGATATATAAAAGAGAGTGCAGGCGGCATATCCAGAAGCAAATGCTACAGTATGCCGGGAAGAACAAACGGGAGCTAATATTATTATATTATTTTCCGGTGAATGTAAGAGTTCCTTCACCGCCGCGTCGCGGGCCACAAATCTGCCGGAGGGGCGCGCACGAATTAATATTTATAATATCAGAAAGATACGGTGAACCGACCAAATCGAAAGAATATTATTTTACATTACGAAATGTCTCGTATGGAAAGATTGATCACGGTCCATCTACAATAGGATTCGTGTTTAAAATATGATGGACGGTGGTGATCCAATCTATAGAAACTCCCTCGTGGAACTAACATGAAATGGCGCCTGCCTTACGTACCTATTGCTCCGGCAGTGTTCCGTCGATCCTGTAGCGGGCCCATAGTCGAATAATAATTTGGCACATGCGAATAGCAATCGACGGACGAAGTCGAATAAATTCTACCGCCCATCTACATCACGATTCGTGTAATAAGTTAAAAGGACGGTGGTCCGCCAATGCTGTGGCAGACAAAATCCCTCGGCCTACTATATCGGCGGGGCGTAGATCCAAATGATTATTCGCCACGTGCACAGGCGAGCGACTACGAACTGCTGCTCTGATTTGGGCTGGTGAGCTTCCTTCTGGATTGGGCGAAGTTTTGGGTGCGAATTTGGTGCATTTTAGGAGGTCTCCGTTCTGATTTGCGGACCACGTGAAGAACGTTTACGTTGGTCATGCTAGTCAGGTCAACAATGCACCTCTCACTAGAAATAAATTTGAAAAAGAATGGGGTGTTTATGTAAAAAATGGATTGTGGAGGCCGTTGGGAATCGAAGATCTGATTTTAATGAAAATCTTTGAAAGCGATTTGTTGTGTAGGTGGCTGTTTTGCTTTAAAATGTTGTAATTTATTTATTTTAAAAAAACTTATTTTTTTCCCAAAAAAAAAAAATTTATTTTATATGTTCTATATTGGAATCAAGAAAATTTTAAATAAAATATATCATTATATAAAATTAGATAAGCTAAAAAAAATAGGGATTTTTACATACCTAACACTTAAAACTATGTTATTTACTTATCTCACACCCAAACTTACCTATTTACACACACACCACTAAAAAACTTTTCCCTTTCCAAAAAACCACTCCGTCTTCCTCTCCGTTAAACCCCATTCGTGAGTTGCTTGTGTGGGCGCGAAACTGCTGTTCCTTCGGCATTTGTTCATCTTCTTCATTTCTTGGATCTTAGTTACGGAAGAAAAGCATCGGAGCCTCCCGTCCTCCCGTCTAGCCTCTTGTACATTCCGGCCAAATACTCCATTCCAGATTCGCATCCCTGCCGAAGCATTTGTGCTGCCTATGAAACAGGAAAAAATTGATTAGGTAATAGATTTATGTTTAATAGGTAAGACGCTATGTTCTGTTCTTTGCTAGAACAAATTTTATTAGGTAAGTTATTTTTTTGAAACAGAAAAAGCCCTCCTAAGCCTCCCGTCAAGACTCGCGTTCGTTCTACCTCTAGAACAGAAATATTTTGATTAGGTAAGCTGCGATATTGTCTGGTTTGTTAGATATATGTTGATTTTTTATTAGGTTAGCAGCTTTTATGAACAGAAATAATTTTTTTTATTACAAACTTCTTTGCTAGATATGGATTCCAACAATTTCTGTTATATTGTATTCAAATTTGGAGGATATTGGAGTGTTGTGAAGGGACAGACGAGGCAAAAATATGTTGGTGGTAGTCAAAGAACTTTAAAGTTTGTGAGAAGTGATGTTAATTTGTTTTTACTGAAAGAACAAACATAAGCACTATGCCCGTGGCTAAGGGCACATGATTACGACCTACATTATCACATCCATGGAACATCACCAAAAAATTACATGTCCATTATAAGTGAGACAGATGTTATGGATATGCTTACATATTCTTCTGATTCCCACAAAATGGAGGTGGTTGTCGTTGTGAAAGAGCTTGAAGAAGATATAGGTATTGCTTGTGATAGCCAGCATGTGCACAAACATGATACAAGTAGCAATATAATGACAAACAATGATATAATAGTTGGTGGAATGTGTGAAGGTATTCTTGACAATCCAGATTTAGAGGAAAATACTCTTATTGTAGGATCAAGGTTTGAGGATTCGTTCAGTTTCAAACAAGTTATTCGTTCCAATGCAATAATACATAACTTTGATATCACAATTAAGGCTAGTGACAAATCAAGAGTTATTGCTACATGCTCATACCGTGGTTGTCCTTGGAGGATACGAGGTTCTTTATGTTCTGATGGCCACTCCTTTGAAGTGAAAAAATTAAATCCTACACATTTATGCCATGGGGTAAACATAATTGGGAACAAGTAAGAAACTACAAGCTAGGTTGCCCACGAAATCCAGGACATTGTCAAAAGAAATCCTGATATTACACC